GTGTACTGGTCCACTACTGCAATCTCCTCGATCCCCCACTTCCATCTATGTTCTACTGGTTCATCCTTGTTCTCGTTGCATACCATGACGGCTCTCTTCTTTACGTTGGCAGACAATCTCCACTTATCAGTAAACTTCTTCGCCGCGTCAATTTGCAGTTGCAGTCCCTCAGGGGTGTCCGACATACCGACAAAATCATCCGCAAACAGCATTCCTGAAACCGACGTTTCCTTACCCTACTCTTTTACTCCCTTCCGGACTGCCTCTACGACTTCCAACAGATCGTTGATGAACACCTGGAACAATGTTGGGGACAGCGTGCAACCTTGTGGGACCCCCTGCTCAATGTCGAAGAATTTTGACAGTTCTCCGTCTAGCATGACCGCGCTTTTCGTACACTCTGTCATCTTCTTCAGCACTCTCCGCATTTTCCCCTTGATCTCGTATTTGGACAGTTGTTTCCACAACCCATTTCTCCATTCGGTGTCGTATGCCTTTTTCACGTCAAGGAAGAAGCAATACGTCGGCTTTCCCGCCCTCTTTCTACCTTGGATGATTCTCCCTACCGTGAATACGTGGTCTACGCACCCCCTCTTTTTTCGGAAACCTGCCTGGCCCTCACTAATGCTATGTTCCTTCTCCAATACTGCCACTATCCCATCGTTCAGCAGCTTACAGAACACTTTTCCTACTGTGTTCAACAGTTTGATCCCCCTGTAGTTTCCTGGGTCAGTCTTGTCTCCTTTCTCAAACAAGTTCACAACAACTCCTTCCCTCCATCTACTTGGCGTATACTCGTTTTTCCATACCCAATTGTTTACAGTGGGGGGCCCGCTATAGTGCCGGTTGAATAGTGCCGGTGCCCGGTATAGTGCCGGTAAATATTCTGGACACAGACAGCGCCCTCAGTAGTGCCGGGCCGGCACTATTGAGGGATAGCCCGTTATAGTGCCGGTTGGGCGCCGCTGTGCCCCCCAATAGTGCCGGTTCACTACTGCTGTAGACACACACAGACACACACACCACGACACGAGAGGACAGACGCCCCAGTGACGGAGTGTACACCTGCTGTCGCAGACCCTAAGAGCTCTAAGCAGAGGCGCACCATGCGTTGTGCGGAAGGTGAACTGTGCGTTCAACAGGACAGAACGCCGCAAGACCCTTATGGCCACGTCTTCCAGGGAGGATGTGGAGGGCGGCTTCACGGCAATTGCGGCAGCGTGTTTGACGACATCGAGACCCACCGTATATGCAGCACGTGCGTTACCAGGATTGGCAAGCGCAAAGCGGCAGCAGCTGACGGTGCTGGGGCGGGACCATCTGAACGCCAGAAGGACAAAAGCGGTGGGAGCAAGAAGGGGGGTGTTCGTGCGCGCCCGAACAACAACACGAAGCTTGAGATTCTCAAGCTGCTGGATGCGAAGGTCTCTCAAGTACAGATTGCAGACCGCTTCGGGTGCTCGGAGCGGTTTGTTAGGACTGTGAAGGCTGATCGGAAGAAGGTGGAGGCTGCGACTGCTGCAGGCGGCGGCACCCAGAAAACCGCGCGCAAGGGAGATTTTACGGAGGTGAGCTTTTTCTTTTCCCCGCCTTGTTTTTTCAAAATTGTTGCGGGCGGCTGTTCACTGACCTTTTTTTTCGTCCATGTTTTTTTTCTTTTCGTCGCTCTTCATTTTTCTTTTCACTGGTACAATAGATTTTGTCTCTCTTGTTGTTTCTGTCCATTTTTTGTCTGTGTCGGTTTTCTCACTTATGTATGTCCGCGTTCATCCTCCTTTCCTTTCTGTGTGGCCAGTCCGCTGTTGATGTCCCCCTCTTTGCGTTTTTCCTCTTCTTATTTTTTTTTATGTACTCCGTATTATATGTAGAGCAGACATGACATACATAATCCATTCCTTTTTTTGTGTGTGTTTTGTTTTGTCTCTCTTTAAGGTACGACTGCTGTGTTGTCCCGCCTGACCGCGCCGCGCAGTGTAGGATGCATGCTAATGTTCGAAACTAATGGTAAGACCTTCTGCTTGTTTACTCGTTTTTTTGGCGGCAGGTGGATGCGATAGCTCTTTATCTGCTCGCCAAAGCCCGGAAGGCCAAGATGCCCGTCACACGCGATGTCCTTCGAAGCTTCGGCCGTTCCGCCAGGACAACCCTGCTGGCTGACACCGCAACTTCTCCAGCAGTAAGGGCGAGGGTGGACTTCAAGGCCGGCGAGAAACGGGCAAAGAACTTCGTGAAGCGCAACAACATCCACAGCATGCGACTTCATGGCGAGGCTGGTAGCGTCGACAGGGCGGCTATCAAGGAGGGCATGGACGAAAATCAGGGCCCTTTGCGCGAAGTACCCGGCTAGGTCCAACTTCAACATCGACGAGACAGGCCTCCAGTGGAAGCTCCTGCCCAGGCGCACGTACCTTTCCACCTCGGAGGATCGGAAGACGGCGCGGGGTTCAAAGGGCATGTACTTCAAGGACCGACTGTCTGCCATCATGTGCTGCAATGCCGACGGCACTGCGAAGGTTGACATGGCCATCATCGGGAAGGCAAAGGAACCCCGCTGCGTCAAGGACGGGGGTTCACCTCTGAAGTACTTCTCGCAGGCCAACGCGTGGTCCGACTCTGCGACGTTCCTCAAGTGGTGGCTTGAAGTCTTCCTCCCGTTCGTTCGGCGCTTCACTCACGAACCTGTGCTGCTGCTGATGGCCGGCTGTTCCTCTCACGTTGATCTCGTGGATGACCTGGGTCAAGTGACCACCAAGGCCTACCCTCCGCTGTGCACCTCCGTACACCAGCCCATGGATCTGGGGGTCATCGCCAAGACGAAAGTCGTCTACAGGAAGGAGCTGATCGATGTGACGACATCAACCATGTTCGTGGCTGACACACTTCGCGCCCAGGCGGAAGCCCGCAAGATGAAGGCCGGGACAATGGGGCTTGCGCAAGGGCACCAACCTCACGTGCGCGACACCGCTGAACTTCTCGAGAAAGCATGGGCCAGCGTCACCGCCCAGGATATCGCCAGGTGAGGTTTGAACATGTGGTATTGCTGTTTTTTTTCAGCTCCCGCAAGTGCGCGTGGCCTTGGTGGTGCGATACGTGGGGACGGTTGTACGGATAGGTTCGCATGGGTTTCCTTTTTTTTCAACGGAGTATTGCAGCACCCGGACATGCCCATTTCTCTTGTTCTACGAAGGGTCCTCTCTCGCATTCCTATGAGTCATTCTTCGCCATTCCCGTCCAACATCGCTTGTCCACCCAAAAACGGATGCATTGCATTTTCTGCTACCCGGGACCAGGTGCTTTGTCAAGGCCGACACGCTTCCTCCGGAGATGGCGGCTGAGCTCACCAAACAACACGGAAAGACGCGGTTTAGCATCGCCGAGCCTGACTTGAAGGCTCTCACGGAGACCGTCAACAAGATGAGCACGAGCGTCGGCGACGCGCTCGAGCAGCGAGCCGGCACCGTAGACGAGGAGATCAGCGAGCTCTTCGTAGAACTCGACATTGAACCCGGAAAGCCGGTCGGGGGAGAAGCGGTGAGCGCCATTCAGGGGTGGGCTACCATCGAGGACGACGATGAGGTGGCAGAGGCTCTTCGACTGGACGCAGTGGACGAAATGGCGGCACTGCTGGCTGGAACGCACGTGACAACAGGCGGCGAGGAGGAAGACGAAGAGGAGGGTAGTGGCGATGACAACACGGGGCCCGAGCGCCGAGCTCCACCTGCTTATGCTGAGCTGTCGCCTCACCTCAGCGTCCTAGAAGCGGCAGCAGATGAGAGTGGCAACGGAGACGCGGCGTTCTTCCTAACGAAAGCGAAGATGGCAATGATTGCAGCGCATTCCGCTGAGCGGGTGCACCAGGCAGACATGAGGGGTGCAGCTGTTGTATGTAGCAATGGTCGTTTCATTTTCTTCCGGTGCGCTTTCTGTCGTGCTTTTCTTTGTTTTTTTCTTCTTGTAACGTCCAAGGGGGTGCGCCAGGCACACGTGAGAGAGAGTTGCTGCTACGTTGCGAAGGCGGGGAGAACAGCTGTGGTAGTAGTGATGGTCGTTATTTTTTCGTGCGGTGCGCTTCCTGTCGTCGTTCTTTCTCTCTGTTGTCTTTTTTATCGGGCAACATCGAAGGAGGGCAACGAGGACTTAGAAGTCCAGTAATCCTACACTCATTTCCGATCCACGATCCACATCGTACTCTGTTGACCCCGCAAAGCTTGAGCGCTGCACTATGAAATCACCGCCTCCTCAGTAGTGCCGGTTAGTGCCGGACCGGCACTACTGAGGTATAATCGAAGCCTCAATACTGCCGAACCGGCACTATTGAGGCACTATTCTGAAAACTGCCGGTGCCCGGTATAGTGCCGCTTTTCCCTCTGGACACTACCCGGCACTATAGCGGGCCCCCCACTGTAGCAGCACCATCAGCTGGATCATCCCCTTCCCCCCAAACTTCATGAACTCGTTGACTATCCCATCCGCTCCTGCTGCTTTGTGGCACTTCAGCTTGTTCACACACACCTCAACCTCGTCCTCAGTGAACTCCTTTTCTAGTTCTACGTTCCCAACGTCTGCCTTCGATGTCTCTTCTTCTTTCTTTTGNGCCTCCTCAGTAGTGCCGGTTAGTGCCGGACCGGCACTACTGAGGTATAATCGAAGCCTCAATACTGCCGAACCGGCACTATTGAGGCACTATTCTGAAAANTCGTGCGGTGCGCTTCCTGTCGTCGTTCTTTCTCTCTGTTGTCTTTTTTATCGGGCAACATCGAAGGAGGGCAACGAGGACTTAGAAGTCCAGTAATCCTACACTCATTTCCGATCCACGATCCACATCGTACTCTGTTGACCCCGCAAAGCTTGAGCGCTGCACTATGAAATCACCGCCTCCTCAGTAGTGCCGGTTAGTGCCGGACCGGCACTACTGAGGTATAATCGAAGCCTCAATACTGCCGAACCGGCACTATTGAGGCACTATTCTGAA